ATATATATATATATATATATATATATATATATATATATATATATATAAATTTTATCATAAAAACTGGTATTCAGAGTTCAAAATCATTTAACAGCAACACCTAAGAGAGAATTATTAATAAAGAAAACAATATAGAAAAGTTTCACTGGAGATAAAATGTTTTATTGATGTACACAGATTTAATCTGGATAACAAAGTAAGTTTTCTCAATTTGTTGCAGTTTCATAAAACTTTTTGTATTTTTGAAAGAAATTAAAAAACCATTGATTCTGTATCAACTTTTTTCTCTCCTAGGTTAAATTGATGAGAAAACAAAGCACGGCTTCATCAGGTATTTTAGTCAAAGTAATAAAATCTAATTTCTCTTTAAGCTTCAAATTAGTTTTTCAACATTCCTGTTAGACATTAAATAAAAACTCAATTAAAAATAAATCTGTCATCGTGAGTAAAAACCGTTATTTAGACGTTACGATGATCTCAGTTTGACAGATTTTAACTTCAGATGTTTTGGCGTCTCCAGCTGGACAAACACAGAAATAAGGGAAGAGTTTCTCAGTGAAAGTGTCTCTGTGAGTGAAGATGTGACTCATGTCTTCAGAGTCGTGGAAGGACACCTCCCCCCTGTCATAGTCCAGCTGGACCCTGATCCTCTGGAGACTCTTCTTCACTCTGAGTTTTACCAACAACATTGGTGTATTTTCCATCTTTATGAGATAAACACCTGAGTCCCTCTTCCTTCCTGTCGACTGACTCTTTAACCAAATCAACATTCCATCGGGGATTCAGAACCAAAAACACTGGTGTATTTAGTGTTTCTCTCTGGTATATGTGGAATTTGCCGACATGTGTCATCATCCCACCATGTGTCATCATCCCTCACACTGGTCAGATCATCAGACACGTAGAGTGATCGACTCGCAGTGTTTGTGTCCAGAATGACAGGTTTGAAGTGGACCTTGTCCTTCATCTTGTCCCAGACTCTGAAGGACAGGTTGCCCAGGTGTTGGTCCACATCTATCAGGACTCCTGAGACCAGCTGTGGATCTGACAGTGAGCTCTGGGTTCTGGCTTTGGTCTGAGTGTCTTTATAAGTGCTGAGGAAGGACACGTTGTCTTTCTGCAGGTCTTCTTCAACAGCAGAGATACTGTCTGACAGAGAGGAGATGTGCTCCTGAATCCTCTTCATCTCTCTGCTCATAGTCTTCCTCTTCTGCTCCTCTTCCTCCCTCAGAGCTGCCAGTCTGGACTCCTCTTCCTCTCTCAGGAGCTGGTGGAGCTTGTTGAACTCTGCTCTGATCTGTGTCTCTGTGGACAGCAGCTGCTTCTTGGAGTGTTGGATCACATCATTGTATGTTTTCTCCACATGTTGGTGTTTGTTCCTCTTGTCCTGCAGAGACTTTAAGTCAGATCTCAGCTGCTCCTTCAGCTCACTGACTGCTTGTTCTACAGGAACCACTTTGTGGTTCTGGTGGAGAGAAAACTCACAGACAGGACACACGGCTCTCTGCTCGTCTCTGCAGAACCAATAAGGAACATCTTGGTGTTTGCTGCACACCACCACCTTCTTCTCTCCTTTTTCTGCCTCAGATGATCCAGATTTCTGTCGTCCAGCAAAAGAATCAGCAAGTTCTTTTAAAGTAAAATTCACTAATAGAGGATCCTTAGAAGATCTTCTTCTACAGATGGGACAGTTCTTGTTCTGAGTTTTTTCCCAGAACTTCTGCAGGCAGCTTGAACAGAAGCTGTGGCTGCAGCTCAGAGACACGGGATCTTTGAAGGTCTCTGAACAAACATGGCAGCTCAGGTAACTCTGAAGAAGTTCTCTTTCAGCCATTTCCTCCAAACTTTTCTTGCTAGTCAACGACTCACCATAAATCTGTCTTTTTGAACCAGTCCATTAAACAGTTTCTGTCGTGGCGTCTCAGCTCCAGGAAAAAGTGTCCAAATGAACTTTAAACTTCTCTGACGGGTGATGATCTCTGACCTTTGATTTTCTTATCAACTCAGGGTGGAGTTTTATTTTATTAACTTATAAAATCTCTTCCTGCATGAAGTGATTTTCAAACATGTTTTCCCACAAAGATTTGTTTCTTAAAAGAGACAGAGTTACATTTTTCATTTTTACATTTTGAACACATTTGTGTTTCTTAAAGGAATTCTACCAAGTATAAATTTTAAAGCTGAAAGCATTTTCATTAATCTTACTTAGTTAAAGCAAAAGTTTATTTTTTATCCCACTTGTTTTAGTCCTAAAGATCACAGCTGATGTGAAGATTTAAGAGCAGCATTACTCAAAATGAACTAACAACAAAACCTCACATTTCTAAACCAAATGCAACTGTTTTAAATGTATTTAACACTGAAAGCTGCTAACAAGACTTTTCTGTATTTTATCAACTTTTTTTGTTGCATATTTATTGTTGACATAATAAAGTTGAATGTAGTAGTAAAAATAATTATGATTTTAGCACTGGGGTGGGCGCTCAGTTGATAGAGCTGTTGCTTCTCAGCGAAAAGGTTGCTGGATCGAATCCCACCTGGGGACCTTTGGGTGGAGTTTGCATGTTCTCTCCGTGCATGCGTGGGTTTTCTCCAGGTACTCCAGTTTCCTCCCACAGACCAAAAACACGCATGTTAGACTGATGGATCATCCTAAAGTGAAAATTAACACAATCTGAAAGTTATGATAAACAAAACAATAGCTAATGCTTAAAACCAACGAAACAGAAACTAAAATAAAAATGTTAAATTTCAATGAAAACAAAAAA